CTATATGTAACTCTTGATTCTTATCATCCTCACGTATCTCCCTGTCTCTAATGATTCACGTGATTATTATTGTACGAGTGTTTAAGTCTGCTTGCACCCATGTACTAAGCCATATCTAGTGTATAACACTCAGAAGTTGTGAACATTTAAGCATGGTCCCTTTTCTCTGGCCAATTGATGATTTGTTAAAGACATACTTAATCAGTGTAGCATGGTCATCCGTTGTCACCACGATAACACTGCTTCTGCTGCCTCATGGTATTTCTTGGTTTCATACAACTAGCAAAAAAAAAAAAACAAACGCCACCATGCTAACATCTGTGCAAAATACTCCCCCGTCCTAAAATATGTCGTTTTCGCTTCCCGAGAAACAACTTTGACAAAATATATATTAAAAAATATTAATATTTATGGTACATAATTGATATCATTGGAAAGATCTTTGAATCTAGTTTTTTAATATATTTATTTGGAGATATAAATGTTGCACGTATTTTTTTACAAATCGAGTCAAACTTGTAGCACGAAAACCAAAAGTGACAGATAATTTGGGACGGAGAGAGTATGAACCTACGTTGTACAGGACGATTAATACCTATTTCATAACAATCTCTTGAGAGGCAAACACAAATTAAACACTGGCCCAATCCACTATATGCATGTTGGCGTGGCAACGCCGCGCCCCTTTTTCTAGTATTTGATATAAGAGGTGGCTGATGAGAGTCAATTCCCTCATTTGTTTAATCATCTCTTCACGTGTATACATATTGCTACCTATGTGAATACACAGTGCGGCACTTTGTGCCATGTGATTCAACGGTACTTCGTGACTTACCCACACAGCAAGAATTCACAACAGCACGTGCCTTCTGGCATATGTACTATTACTACCTTCGCATTCTCGGCCTAGTTGACGGTTCCTTCTGCAAGCACTAGATCGCCATGCACGTGAACCTCTCCACGCCCTCAAATATCTCCTAACGCCTTATAACATTTCTAACAGTACTATCTAAAACACACCATATACTTCGCTATTTAAGTAGCCACCCATTTTCGTACTACCTATATTTCATCGTTTTCTCCATCAACAGTACCTAAAATAAACCTCCCAAATCTATCATAGCAGAGAATGACATATGAAACCCATATTTTGATGGTGCTTTAACTCCTAGTTTTACCATCAACAGTCGTGCATAAAATCAACTCAAACCAACAACCACATAGAGATAGAACTTTAAACTAACAAAATCCACAAAAGTGTTGATGATTATTTGTATGCGGGTAAATTATCATGAAAACATAAAGATCACTTGAGCAAAATGATGAAGAAATCCAAAGTTGATCATTCAATGACCCCACAGGTGCACCATTGCTTTTACATTAGGGGCTTGTAGTCCCGTGAGATCCTCCAACGTGTGGAGAGGCTGCTGAGTGTGTACTCAAGGGAATGTGTGACCCGGGGCATTTTTATCGAAAACACGATAGTGAAAACGACAGGGAGTTGTCCAGGAGATGGCCATCACGAAGACCCACTTGCTCGTGGGGAATGACTATTGACTATCCATGGCGTTGCCTCACCGAGAGCTTAGCTGTCACGTGGGCATCCTTGCAAGGGGCTCCAATGAGGATTAGGGGAAAGCATGAGCTTCTCGATAGCTTTGAAAAAAATCACTATCGTCAACGGAAGTTCGCATCTCTAACTCATTTAAGTTTCCGCATTTACGTTGCTTACCTAGCTTGTGTGCTTACTTTTCTAGTTTAGCTTGCTAGGTGTGCTTACCTTTTTTGTGTTAGAAATAGCAACACTTAGCAAAACGTTACTTGCACTTTTAGATAGAATTCATGCATAGGTTTTGTTACGTAGAAAATGGAGGCCAAGTTTAGTTTTTAGAGAATCTCGATAGTTCCCAAAATAATAATAGGTAAATCAATGTGTTTTTCAAGTGGCTAAAAAATGTTCGGAGCTCATTTGTTGGGTTCCTTCAGCATTTTCTAAAATATCGCTCCTAAATTATAGAAGATAATTTTGTATCAGGAATTTTGAACAATTTATTATCACCTTAATCACTTTTATACTTTCTCTCTCTTGTATATTTGTATTGAGAACCCTGTCTAGCTCTTTATTCTTTCCACGTCCTTCCACCTCTGGATCGGCTAGAGGTGGATCGATAGGCGCGCGATATTTCCGCGTGATTGAATCATTTTCCCCAAGTGTGGAAAGATTGCGAGTGGGTTTTGGAGAGCAATTTTTTTTCAGTCTTGCCAAAAATCTAGATTGGGAATGGATTTTGGAAACTCTTGAATATGCTCTTAGAATGCCTAATTCAAACCCCCGTCCCACACCCGCCCTTTTATATGTTACGGTCCCAACATATAAAACAAGATCTGGGAAAGGTAGCTTCGCTGGCTCCGCCTGTTTCATAGGCAAAAACAGAAGGAGCCGGAGCCCAGTTTGCTAGTGTTAAGTAGCATACAGTAGCGCACAATACACTTGGAGCCAGAGCCGTCCAGGCAGGAGCTCTATCAACAACAGCCTAGTTTGTTATGGACTCCGTGGGCCTTAACCTAGGAGACACTGGCTCGTGGGTATAGCTAGTTGGGCCGCACTCAATTTGGTGCGCACTGCCTAGGGTCCCGCTCGTGGTGGAGCGAGCGACCGCAAAACAGAAGCACCATTAAAAACGCAAAAGGTAACGCGCGCGGGGTCTTACTCGTGGTGGAGCGAGCAACCGCACGAGGCCTGGCCTGCGCAACATACATGGGGCCCTCGCGAGCCTGCCGCACGCGGCCTGCGCGCATGCGGCCCTTCCGTGCTCATGCGCATGCGGCCTGTGTGTTTTTTTTTATTCTTTATAATTTTATTTAGTTTTTGTTTTATGTGAGTTTTTAGTTTTCTTTTCACATTTTATATTTTATAGTTTTCTTTTATTTTTTATTTCTTTTGGTTTTCATTGTTTTTTCTTTAGTTTTCATTTTCTATCTATCAATTTCAGTTTAATTTTCTTGTTGTCAATTTTAGTTTTGTTCCTATGTTTCTGTTTTTATTTTTTTTTATTGTGTCTTCTTTAGTTTACAGTATGCATTTGCCATTAATAGTTCAATTTTCTGGTTGTTAATTTCAGTTTTATTTTCTGGTTTTAGTTTCAGTTTTTTTTATTTTCATTTTTGTATACTTTAGTTTTTAGTTGTGTCGATTTTCTGGTTGTCAATTTCAGTTTTAGTATCTGGTAATTTCAGTTTCAGTATTATGTTTCTATTTTTTGTTTTTTGTTTTTATGTTTCAGTTTTTTTTGTTTTTCATTGTGTCTACTTTAGTTTTCAGTTTGTATTTATCAATTTCAATTCAATTTTCTGGTTTCATTTTCAGTTTGTGGTAGCTACTTCAGTTTTTCTTTCAGGTTCGAATGCTTTCCTAAATCCTTCATATTACCTGTTTTTCAATATTTCCTGCTTCTAAATATTTCATTTTTTATTTTAGTTTCGGTTTAATGAGTTATGAGATCCATTATTTCATTTTCCCTTTCAGGTTCGAATGCATTCATAAATTATACGTATTAGTTGTATAATAACTTACCCTCATAAGTTGACAGCTTATGCAATGCTTCCTCTAATAATTTGTCTCTCACAGCCCACAGGTGCACCTTGTCTTATTTTGAGCCATTACTCTTGCTTTTCTAATAAATGTCCCTTCAATTGGCAGCTTATGCAATATTTGTTCTAATAATTTGTCCCTAGGTTGCAGCTTCTCTTGTTTTGTGTCGCTACCCTTGTTTTTTAATAAATGTCCCTAGTTGATAGCAAGTCATGTTTACTGGCTTTTGTAATGTGTTTATAATAACTTGTCCCTAATTGGCAGCTTACGGAATGTTTGTTTTAATAATTTGCACCTTCACGTTGCAAACTATCTTGTTTTGGGCCGCTATTCTCCTTAGGTGTTAGTATCTTTATGTAAAACTATATAACAATTTTATTATATTCCCATGGTAACAATCGATGTGCATGCTATGTAACAACTTTAGTATAATTTTTAATAACAACTTTAGTATTACATGGTGGTAATTCATTTGATAAATCTTCTAGAACATATATGCACATATATTGTTACTAAAATAAATTTCTTTGAAACATGGGCAAGTGGGACCTAATTTTGTTCGTCTCATCACGTAGATCCGTCGAAATTGAAAACAGGAACACCTTAAAAAATGTTTGATTTTTGGAAAGCGTGCAAGGGAAGGCTGGAGCATCAGCGCATAATCATCATCATCATCCTGCGCTGGGGCTGGGGTAATCATCGCGTAATCAGCAATTCAAATAAAATATATAGTCTTGTCCTAACGCTATATGATGACTGCGCAGAGGCTGCGCGCGGGGCTAGGGTCGTGCACTTCCGTTCTACGCGACCCGTCGCGCCATAGCCTTGTCCCTTTAAAAAATAATAAATCCTAAAAGTTCCCATAATAAATCAGAAACATCTTTCATTTAATTTGATAAACTCTAATCATCATCGACGGTCTCCATTGTCCGCGAACACTCCATTTAACTAAGCTAGACTAAGTTTTTGTCATATGACCAACTCAGTTTAACCTAATTAATCCGACGTACCGTCCCTGGAATTGCACCGTGATTTAATTTCGTAGACTAAGAATCAGCAACAGTATCCATTATCCAAGGACCCTTCAATTAACTATACTAAGCCGAGTTTTGGTCCTCTGACATTCTCAGATCTCACCGTCCCCAGAATTGTACCATCCGTTCTATCCATAATTTAAAAATCTTATGCCCGGAGAAGGCAACGAAGGTTATCAGAGAACAAGAAGTCCGACTTGGCTTAGTCAAATTTGGGTAGTCTAACAACCATTTTTCCCCTGAGTAATACAGGATGCTCCGTTGAGACATGTTGGATATAATATACACACTTGTTATCATCTATTCATCTCTTGGTGTTCGCTACAACATTCAACACACACACACACACACATAGCAAATTAGCAATTCTTAAATCAGAGATGACTCTGTCTGGCTTCTGAAGATGTTAATATTTCGGTCGTGGCAAAGGATTTTGTTGTGGAAGATTGTGCACCGGCTGGTCTATGCGGCTCAAAGTTTAATTTGAGGTAGTCAGATATCATGGGTGGTCTTGTCACCTTGTCCACGGAGACTGCTGTCTCCCCGGTCAGCATCTTGACAATGTTGCTCATGTTGGGACGCTGCTTCATCATCTCTTGAGTACATAGTAGACCAACCTTCAAGAATCGGCATGCCTCCTCAACATCCAAGTCCTCCCCTATATTTATATCTATGATCTCCTCCAGATTTCCTTGCTCATAGGATCTCCACGTCTGCAAGTTCAGTAACACCTAGCTAGCTAATGATATTCATATCACAATAACAAAGCTATCTTTAGTTCAATTCTACTGCGAAAATCCCTTTACTCTATGGGGTTTTCTACAAATAAACTCAAAATTCTCGACCAGGATTTTCTCCAAAACTTTAGAGGTGTGCACAAATTTTAAGTTCTCCAAGGAATTTTCTTGAAGTCACTGTTTTCTTCTAGCCTCCATTTAAAAAAAATAAAAATAAACATGAGACCAAACTAAGAGAGTCTAGGTGGTATTTTATTAAAAAAATGGACACCTAAATTCTGAGTTAAGGAAGACTCCAACCTAGATGTTTGGGTGTCATTCCCACCCAATGAATTTCGCTAGACTCGCCTCCTTTAGACCCTTTTTTTGACTTTATCTTCCACGGGCCAAATTCCTGGGTCAGGCCCAATCCCCATGTGGGCCAGCTCATATAGCTTTGAGGTACAAAGATTTGCAATCTGAACAGGATGTTTATGAATGACAAAATATCTGAGTATATACCACTTCCTCCGTTCCAAATTATAAGTCGTTTTGACATTTTTAGATACATGGTTTTTACTATGTATCTACGCCCTGTTCGCTTGGCTTATAAGCCGTACTTTTTCAGCCAACGAACAGTATTTTTCTCTCACAACAAATCAACCAACAGTACTTTCAGCCATGGCTTATCAGCCAAGCGAACAGGGCGCTAGTCATAGCTTATAACTAAGCACATAGCAAATCTATGTATCTAGAAAAGCCATAATTAGCATTACTAGAGTAGGCAGTACCATAGTTAAATTCTATATACCTAGCGCAGTTCAGAACATGAGAATTTTTTTCTTATACCTGCTAGAATCAATATATGTCGTGTGGAAATCCTTTAACGTTTCAGTGTTTAACTTAAGATTGGAAAGGTACCGAAACCAAGAAATCTCAGGGTACTAAGTATGACAAAGCTTACCGTATCAACCAGATATTGGTCTTCCTGGTCCAATCTAATATTGAGATTACATCTGCCACTAACAATCTCCAATAGCACAACGCCAAAACTATAGACATCCGACTTCTTTGTCACTTGTCCCCTGATCGCATATTCAGGAGCCAAATATCCTCTAGCAAGAACAAAGAACCGGGATAAGAACTAAACATATACTCTTTGCAAGAAACTCTTCAAACTCCAGAACAAGATTATGCTTACAGTGTTCTTGCAGCTTGAGTACCAATATGAATAGGATGTATGAAGAACATCCTAGCCAACCCAAAATCAGAAATTTTTGGGGTGAGATCCTTGTCAAGAAGAATATTGCTTGCCTTTATGTCCCGGTGGATTATGTGGGGACGGATTCCTTCGTGGAGGTATTCAAGCCCACGAGCAACGCCTAACGCAATTTTAACGCGAGCTCTCCAATTGAATTGGATGCTGCTAGGCCCTGATCCTGCAATACCATGCGAGTATTAAAAGTATGCTACGGGCCACATATATTGATATTAAAAGGATGGCTTGATAATGGGAAGACATAAAGTAGAAAAGCATGCACCTAACAGTGTATCTGCAAGGCTGCCGTTCTCAATATAATTGTATACAATGAACTTATGAGACCCTGCTTGAGCACAGCATCCAACTAAGGTCATTAGGTTTTCATGCCTAATATCAGCAATCGCTGTAAATTCATGTAGAAACTCTAGGATACCCAGTCTAGTTGCATTAGCTTTGAGAACCTTTACTGCGACAAGTATTCCATTTTCAAGCTTTCCCTGATCAAATAGAACAAATTTTAAGCAAGAGAGTTCAGTATCTGTGAGAAAGTATCATGTGCATGTGCTCCCACAGGGTTAGGCACTCATTTGGCTCCTGTCACGAGGGAACATCTCCAGAAAAGGTCAAAATATTCCATCTGAATTTATGATGTGGCTACAATGCGCATGTACTTGTAAGTTTAAATCCAAACTCAATCTGAACATCAAATAATATGAAAAAAGTGAAACCAGCATGAAACAGTAATGAATGACCCCTTACTCTTATTATCCAGAATCCATTACTATAAACATGTTGATTTCGCTTTTTTGTTACTCAATGTGCAGATCAAGGTTCAGTTTTTAAACTTCACAGAGAGGTTGATGCTTATCATATGGCAAATTATAAAAGTTCAGAGGGAATTTTCAAGCTCTTCTCGAGGTGCTTGGGTACAATGGGAGCACCTAACCTGGTGGGGGCACATGATTTTTTTTTTTTGAGGAAAAGAGCTGACAAGATTACAACTGTTGAAGTGATCAACAATGCAAATTACCCTATATATGGTACTGAAACGGCCTTTACTGATCTTATTTGCCTCACTAAAGTTATTTGTAGCTTTTTTCATCTCACTGTAGGAAAAAACTTTCACCTTGTTTCCTCCTGGGATAGCCAGAAAACAAATGCAAGTGTTACAAGAGGAGCACTTTACACAGAGAAGAAGATTATGCCACTGAGATAATGCTCACCTTCACCTTCAGTATTTTGTTCCAAGCCTTTGTTAGACATAAAACAACTAGACATTTTTGAAAATCGAATAGTGGAAGACCCAAAAAACGGGACTCCTGAAAAATAAAAAGAGGAGCATCAATAGAGTGTTTATTCAGATAGGTCACCAACATGTAATTAGTCAGACTGAATGTAACAGCCTCATATTTACAGTCATACCCATTATTGTGTAACACACGCGCACACATGCATGGGCCTACACACACGCGCACACACACATGCTCTGTGGGTAGAATATAGGCTATCATGCGTAAGCCCAACAATGATATAAATGATGAATTGTAAAAATGCAGTGACACTGTTATGGCAAGTGGAGCCAGCCTAGGGGCCCACGTGGTACTGTACCACGCGTGAACAGTCATCTCTATAAAAGAGAGAACCCGGTATTGATTGTAACCAAGCAAGGAGAACCTAAGAAGTAGTCTACGAACGAAAGGGTTCTTCCTGCTACCCCAGTCAATCCATATCATATTGGTATCAGAGACCACTGCCGAGGCATCGCCATCCATGGCCGGCCTCAACATCGATCTTGTGGCGATGGACGCCAAGCTCGACCGCATCCTTGCGCAACTCTCCACCATGAACAAGCGGTTGAATTCACATGACGAGCGCATTGCGCGCTTGGAGAAATTCCAGCAAGAGAAGACAGGGGGGCAGCAGCGACGCCCGCCGCCGCCACGGTCACCTTCAGCCGCCCCCTCGTCCCCGTGAAGGCCTTGGAGGGCGACATGGCTGTCGACGCTCAGGCCAACGCAAACGTCAACCAGGTAGCCACTCCAGCGGGCGGTGCTGTCCAACGCTATGTGCCGCCGCACCGGAGGGCCAGGGCCAAGACGCCGCCGCCATCTCCAGCCCCGACGACCCCTACCCCGATCCATAGCAGTGTGGTGACGGTGTATGACAACAACGACGCGGCACTGCTAGAGCCGTCCCTGCAGCCCAAGGCCTGCATTGGCCACTCCGTCGAGGCCCAGATCCTGGAGGCCGTCGGCGTCAACTTCGTGGACGAGAGTGAGGTGTTGATCCCCATCATCGACGTTCTGCATCCCCTTCGTCTGCGGCTGCCGCGACTTCGGCGAGGCGCTCAGCAAGGTCCATGAGGGCGCCGCCACGATCCGGAGCAAGGGGGAGGTCAGCACGGGCACCGTCGTTGAGGCGGTGCGCCACGTCTGCTCTGTCATGGGAGACGTCCACGCACTACGCAACATGGACGACGAGGAGGTCTTCGCGTATGCCAAGCGCATCGCCGCGCCCTACAACCTCATCATGCAGATCCCCCAGCAATCACCACAGCTCGAGGAAGAGCTGTCTTGGAGGGGTGGAGTAGTGTTATGGCAAGTGGAGCCGGCCTAGGGGCCCATGCGGAACAGTAGACAGATTAGATTAGATTGATTTGGTTTGTTAGGAAAGAGATAAGGTAGATTGATTCGGTTAGGATATTTCCTTAGGCGTCAAGTCAGTCATCTCTATAAAAGAGAGAACCCGGTATTGATTGTAATCAAGCAAGGAGAACATAAGAAGTAGTCTATGGACGAAAGGGTTCTTCCTGCTACCCCAGTCAATCCATATCAGACACAGATGCCATGTACACTAATGTGGAAACTTCACCACCGCCAGTTCGCAACCCTGCTTCACCGCCGGTTTTTGCCTGCATTTGTGAAAGTGGGCAATGACAACCAAGGTTATCACTGTCGGTTCTTAACCGGCGGTGATATACTTCATTACTGTCGGGCGCTGGCCCAGCATACAATCCGGCGGTGATGTCCTTTCCACCACCACAGGTCTGGCGTACGATCTGGCAGTGATGTTCTCTCCATCACCGCCAGTCTGGAGTACGATCGGACAGTCATGAAGTGGCGATCACCGCCGTTCCAGCGTATTAGATGTATATATTTTGCATGTGTTTACTGTTTAGTAGTGTAGAGTGCTATCTGCACTTTGTACATCTTCATATGTGGCCCTTTGGGCACCGAAATAGAAGCAAGTGCCATTCCTAACATGGTATCAGATCCTCACCTGCCACCACCGCACCACCAATTCGCTGCCGATGAAGACCGTCGGCGCCTGCCCATGCCTCTCCGCGCGCCTGTGCGCGTACGGCGCCTGCCCACGACCCGCACGGCCGCACCCCACCGCCGGTGCCTCGACTGTGTCGTGCGCCCACCGCTCCGTTGCTGGCGCCTAGAGCTTCACAGCTTTCTATCCTCCCCCGACCCCTCCCTCTTTCTCTATCATCGTCCCTCCCGACGCCCTCTTCCTTGAAGGCGCCCCCCTGCTTCCTCACTGTCTCCACCAGCAGCAGGCCAGCCCTATCCTTCTTGTGCTCCCCACACCGCCTCCTGTTCTTCTCAGCAGTAGGAAGGTGTCGCCCCATCCCTGCTCTTCTTCCTCACTGGTGCATGCCCCATCTCTTCCTTATCAAAAAAATGCATATTCCTTTTGTTGAGGAGACTCGGCTTCATGCGGGGGATGTGAGTTGCTCTGCCACCAACCTCCGTCTTGTCTACCACACCTCTCCCGTCGTCCTGGCCCACACCGCCTATGTCGTCCCCGTCCTCCCCAGTGGTGGCTAAGGACTTCCTTGCTAGTCATTGTGGTGCCTCCACTCCACCTTGCTCACTATCTGCTACTGAGTAGGAGATTCTTTCCCTCTTCCGCCGTCTCACTACCTCTGTGCCAACCTTGGTACACAGGGCTATAGCTCAGGCCTATAAGTCCACCCTACTCGACAAGAGGGGACGAACCCGCCAGGGAAGTAGAGCATGGAAGTGGAGGTGCTCTGCCAGTGGAGCTTGGCTGGTTGGGAAGGCGCTTGGCCAGTGGAGGTCGACCGGTTAGGGAGGCGCTTGGCCAGTGGAGGTCATCTGGTTAGGGAGGTGCTTGACCGAGGTGCTTGGCTGGGTGGACCTCAGCCGCCGGAGGGAGAGGGTTCGTATACGGCTGATGTGTCTCTGAAGAGGAGTTTAGGACAGAGAGGGAGATGCTAGGGCTGACGGGTCAAAAGGAGGGCTGGGAGGCAGGCCAGTGGGAGGATGTGTCAAGGACGAGCTGACGCAGCCATATCTGGGTGAGGTGCTGCAGGCGGACCGCTAATAATTAGGGCTAATTGTTAGAGCAACTCCAAGAGTCCTCCAACAGCTTTTTTAGTTAGAACAACTCCAAGAGTCTCTTTATACCTTTCATCATGGATAGGAATAAATATTTTGGTGACAAAAAAATACCCTCCAATATCTTCTTTAATTATATCACTAAATATAGTCATCCTCTATTCCGGATTTCTTGGTAGATCTCTAGAGTGCGTATAAGATATAGAGAAGCTTTTGGAGGGTGGAAAGATATAGAGAGCGATTTTTATTTAAAAGGCTCTCCAAATGATGATTTAGAGAGCGAGTTTAAGAAAGACTCATGGAGATGCTCTTAGATCTCTAAATATAGTCATCCTCTTTTCCTAATTTCTGTCTAGCCAAAGATAGAGAGCAGGGCTAGATCTCTAGAGTGCACACAATGTATAGAGAAGCTTTTGCAGGGTGAAAAAATATGGAAAGCTATTTTTATTCAAATGGCTGTCTATATGGTGATTTAAAGAGTGAGTTTAAGAAAGACTCTTGGAGATGCTCTTAGCTAGCTATAATTTAACAAGAATTAGCACTAGTGCATCCAAACAGAGGCTAAGAGCAACTCCAAGAGACTCTTTATATTCTTCCGTATTGATAGGAATAGAGATTTTGATGGAAAAGAAGTCCTCCAACAACTTTTGCAGTTAGATCTCCAAATATTTTTATCCAACATTCCAAGTTTCTCACTAGCCAAAGATAGAGAGTAGGGCTGGCTCACCAAAGTGTGCACAAGCTACAGAGAAGCTGTTGGAGGCTGAAAAGATATAGAGAGCGATTTTATTCAAATAGCTCTCCAAATGATGATTTAGAGAGTGAGTTTAAGAAAGACTATTGAGATGCTCTAATAGGCAGGCTAATTTTTTGCTAAGCCTCTTAACTAGTTGTTAGCCAACTAGCTGACCATCCTCAGCTAATTTGGACTAATTTTTAGCCCCAGCTGATCCAAACAGGCCTTTAATCTCTCTCATTTGCCCCTTACAAAATGACAAATCATTTGTCACTAACTCTCTCGTAATGGCAACAGGTTTGGAACTGTTGGAGGGAGGATTTAGCTGCCTCTTAGATTAAGGGCTTGAGTAGAGTCTGTTGGACATGGTTTTTCTGTCCACTCCTCAGATATAGGGGGGGTGGGTTTAGGGGCCTGCTGGAGATGCAATTATTAATACTCATTTAGAAAATATAGAAATCAGAATGTGAGTGTATATATCAATGATGAAGTATGTTTTCGTACCAGTACGGGCAGTGCGATGCTTAGGAACATAACCGCCACTTGTAGGTGCAGATGAATCCCCAATGACTTTCTGAAAAAAGTTATGTTAGAAATCTGAGTATTTTATTTTAGTTCAAGGGAATCATAATAGAACAAACACGTTGCATCTTTTTATTTTGAAATCCAAGTAGACACATATACTTAGGTAGAATTACCTCGGTGGAACATTCAGAGTTCCCAGCTTGTTGCCATTGTTGATTTGCCATTGCCTCCCCAGTTTGGTCATGTACAGACACATTCATCTCGTTGGTGATCTCTACTTCATCATGATTAGGACAGACTTGGTTGTCGTTAATTAAGCGTTGAATATGTTGCTCACAGGATTGTAGACATTCAGGATGTAATTTAGGGAAGTTTACAGTCCACCCAGGCATGGCATAGACCTTGCGACATCTGTCCACATTAAGATTTTCCAGATTATTATTTGGTAGCATTCCAAGGTCCATGTGAAGATCCACACACCCTGAAAGGTCTAGCATCCGTAAGAATGCAATGTCACTGAATGATTGAGGGAGATTCTGAATTCTGCTGCACCCTGAAAGTACAAGGACCTCCAAATGAGCAAGCCTTCCGAGAGATGCAGGCATTTCTTCCAGCTCACAGCAATATGATACATTCAAGAACCGAAGAAAACAAAGCTCACCAAATGATTCTGGTAGCTTCTTGAGTCTGGTGCATTTTGACAGGATTAGATCCTCTAAATTTCTTAGCCTGACGAAGGATTCCGGCAATGTTTGAAGTTCTGTGCAACTTGATATATCCAAAAACCGAAGTTCTTGAAACCCACTGATTGATTCAAGTAGCTGGCAAGCTGCAGGACAGCGTGACAGGTTAAGATGCTGCAAACTCTTAATGTCATCAAGCTTTGAGGGCAAGTGATGGAGTTCTCGACATTCTTGTAGGTTAAGATACGTTAGCTTCTTAAATGTTCCAACAAAATCAGGTAGCACCTGAATACATGTCCCTGAGAGATCCAGTGCTTCAAGGTTTTGTAGAAAACTCATTTGATCAGGTAGTGATTGAATAGCCGAGCTAGAAATATCAATGTACCTCAGATGGGTTAACTGGCAAATAGAACTAGGTAACTCCAGAAATGAGCATCTACTAAGGTCCAACACACGTAGATGCTTTAAAGCAGAGAATATTTTCTCAATAAGCTTTGCTCCACCGCAGTCCTTCAAACATATCGCCCTTACACTTGTGAGGAAACCTCTGCTAACTTTGGATTTGTCACTGCATCTAGTCAATAGTGCATATCGGGAAAAACGATTCCCTGGGCTGTCATTAAGTGTCCTTTTACCATCCAGAATAAATAGATCTTGACTGGTAACGTATCTGGCAAACTCATGTACTAAATTGTGCATATTGAGGACTTTTGAGGCACTAGCCTGATTAATTCCAATATCCTGACAAAGGTAAAGCTTAATCATATATATGGAAGAAATTTACTACTAGTAAAAGCAACCATTGTACTCAGGGCCAGTGGAAGATCTAGAAATGTCAAGTGGGGATGCAAACTACAAGGCACAAATTACAAATAAGTCATTATCTTGTATAGTAGTCAATACTGTATATACATATTTCCTTATATGGTAAGTCTAACACAGGTAACATCAAAATTGAAATTGCAATACAAGCAAGCTCAAACAATTGGTACTAAGTCTAGTTCCAGAAGTCTCAAAATCCCAAATCATTCAAAAGAAAATGAAGCAACCGTACTAAGGAAAAAAGGCTGGCTGCAAGGAGAGCATCAACTGCGCCATCATCCACACAGACACTGCCGAAAGCATGAAGAGCTAGTAACGAGGTGAGAGATGCCAATGCATCTGTGTGACCTGGTGATCCATTTGCCCTTTTGCAGACTCAACTCAAATTCTAGCTACAGCATCTGATTGCCATTTACCAGCAAAGCCAACACCACCACCAACCAACGAGTTGAGCCTACTGCTGCTGCTAGCTGCCTATAAAGAGGATTGGTCATCTTGGTCAAGTTCCTGCCAGATGGTGGCTTTAAGACTGTTATTACATGTGTCGAATATTTTGTACGAGTTCGGTTACGTTAGGATTTGAGTTGTATTTGGCAGCTTAGGGTAGAGTTAGGGTCGGATTGTGTTACTCAGCCTCCTTACAAATATAAGAGGGCTCCTGTTGTAACTTGTAACCATGACGACATAGCAACAAGCTCGTAGGAGGGTGGACCCGAACTTGGCGGCGCCAGCTCGTGGGTATAGCGAGCTGGACCAGATCCGCTGCTCATGGTAAAAAAAACGGGAAAATCTCAAGGGTCACATGGTGACGGAGGAGCCCATTAACGTCTCGGAGGGTCACATAGGTTGTGTGTGTCATGGAGCATTATTGGACTTGAGGCCTGATTGTGTGATGTGAAGAGTTGGGCCCAATGTGCGACAAGGGAGATTGTTAGTCTTTTGGGTTAAGTTAGGCTTAGGGGCTTGGTATATTATTGGCTCTGGTGGACCTAGGCCTGGGGCAGCTCATGGGTATAGCGAGGTGGGTCGGATCCGGTGCACACTCTAACAAGGACAAGCTTTACAATTCTAAAAGTCCCTTTGGCTTGGCACCTATGGCTCTGTTTGACTCCTAACTCCAAAGATGCCTCGAGACTTGTCTTGATGCCTATCGCTCATAACTCCATAACCTCCAAGCATGCATCAAGTGAGGTAAAGAAAGGCACTCAAGCTCTTTTCTCGAGGTTCGGTTGCTTGCCAGCAAAATAAGCACTACACAAGTGATAGAATGAATGAAATGCAAGTGTAGAGCTTATACCGAACCGGGCAAGAGAGATGACACAATCAATTTTTCTCCCGAGGTTCAGTTGCTTACCGCAACTTATTCCCCGTTGTGGTGAGTCTTATGGTGAATGATTCGTGCACTAACTAGCATCACACGCTACACCCACAACTTGGGTGTCGCAAGAATCAATCTTACAAGTACTCCTTCTAGCCACGCGCAATTTACTAGAGTATCCCCTTTGCTCTCCGCGAGGCAGGATCAAGAACATCTTCGCAATCAACTTGATTGGGGGTGGAAACAATCACCAATTCCACTCACCAATCATCTAAACTCCAACCGTCTAGGTGGCGGCAACCACCAATAGTAACAAGAACGCCCAAACTTCACAATCACTAGTGCCACCAAGAATGCAATTCACAAACGCAATGCACTAGTGGAATCGATCTCTCTCAAAGTGTTTGGCAAGAGCACAAGAGCAAGAGAGAGTTGGAAGACTTTTCTCAGCTTATAAGGGATGAGCAAGGTTAAACAAGTGGCAAGAGAACTCACAATCCCAAGGCTCCAACTATATATATAGGGCCCAAAAGAATAGAGTCGTTACCCCTTCATACCTCTTCAGCCGAGACGTGGCAGTCCTACCGCCAGGCACCCAACGGTCGACTGATAGCGCTACAACAGCTAGTTTCAAACCCTAGCATATAATCCGATGCTAATTAAGATTAGTCCGACGCTCAGGATTCGATAGTCAGCAGAGAGGTCCAAAATCTCACTTTGTACCATCGGATTAGTCCGATGATTAGCATCAGATTAAGCTTCAATCCGATGCACGGTCTGCTGCATTCGGCTGGTGCTAACAGTCCCACCGCGGGGACAACCGGTCCCACCGCCAGCCTGGGTCAACGTGGTCAGTTGGTGAACATTGTCTATGTTTAATCCGATGCTCTACGCGTGCCAATCCGATGCCAATTTGAAAACTCCTGCACGAGCTACAGCTGCGTGGGCACCTTTGGCGGTCCCATCGCCAGGAGGGGCGATCCCACCACCTGTCAGCTAGTTCCTCTACTCACACGTTATCACATGCGGCGTTTAGTCCGGTGCTCCCAGTCCGATGGGTACCAAAATAGCCCATCAACTCCATTTTTCAAAGCCTTTCAAATGTGCTCAACTCCAACAAGTGTTCCAACAAAGGTTAGCATTTTTCAAGCATTTTGAAAAAAAATTCACTTGCACCTCACGACGTCACTAAGTGTTATGCATATGCAAATGAAGTCACACCTAATGGCACTAGACAGCCTGTGTCAACTTGAGAGCTCCCCTCTTAATAGTATAGTTATCTATCCTAAGCCCGATCACGCACTCTATTGCGTCTTGACCGGCAGAACGAAACATCCTAGCTTATACCTTTGCCTTCAATCCATAGGGTTTTGTTTTCCTCTTTTTTCTTTTCCAAATGATCAGCACTTGATCAACTTGTGGCCACCTCTCATCTCCTCCATGAGTGCCATCTTGCTCAACCTTGATGTGGACATAACCTATCTCAACCACAACACTTAGGATAGAGGCTAGTCCGCTAGTTGCCACTCAATTATCAAAACCAAACATAGGCTTTTCACCAGCGCCGGCGGTGGGATCTGGCTGGCCTCATTGCCACCTTGAACAAGATGACCCTCAAGGGCGGCCAACACTGGGATCCATCACAATGACGCGACCGCCCACATGTCTTCCCCGGATGGTATATTGCTCATTCGTCTACCTCCTTCGACTTCCTTCATCACAGTAGGCAATGGTAGCACCATCCCAATATCCTGTCATGGCACTTCTACATTGTCAGCAGCTGACATGTCCTTCCACCTTAGCAATGTCCTTGTTGTTGTTGAACTCGTTTGTAACTTGCTTTCTACTCATCAGCCCACATGTGATAATCATTGTTCTGTTGAGTTTGACGCTTTGGGTTTTTCTGTTAAGGACCTTCCAATGGGACACGTGATTCTTTGCTCAATAGTAGCGGGGATCTCTACACCATACCTTCGACACCACCCTACAGCTGTACTCTTGCCACTTCATCCTCCCTGTGGCACCACCACCTCGGTCATCGTGGTTCCTCCACTCTCAAGACACTCCAGTAAATGTCGACCATCTCTTGCAATAAACACCTCCACTTCTGTTACTTCAGCGCCTTTTGATTTGCTACATTATGATGTATGGACATCGCCTGTTCTTAGTACATGAGGATTTAAATATTATTTGTTGGTTGATGATTACACCCACTTTTGTTGGTCATTTCCCCTGCACCACAAATCTGATGTGCATCATCCATATTGTTGATTTTGTCGCTTAAACTCACGCCCAGTTCAGCACCATGCTGGCCGACAATGGCACCGAGTTCGTTAACAATGCCACTACCTCCTTCCTGACCAGTCACGACATTACCTTACGTCTTTCATGCCCATACACCTCCCCACAAAACAGCAAGGCAGAATGCATGCTTCTTACCATCAGTAACACCATCCACACCCTTTTGATCCATGCTTTGATGCATCCCCCATACCGGATTAAGGCCCTGGCCAACGCCACCTTCCTCCTAAATTATGGGCGGTCATCGTCTGTCCATAATCACATTCCCTTCTAGCTTCTGTATCAGAAGCTCCCGAATTATTCCTTCCTCTGTGTGTTCGACTGCCTCTGCTATCCGTAGTGCCACGACGTCACACAAACTCTCCCCTCGTTCGACTCCATGCGTGTTCCTCGGCTACCCCTCCTCTACAAGGGGTATCGTTGCCTGGACATGTCTAGTCGCTGCATCATTATCTCGCGTCACGTTGTCTTTGATGAGTTTGTGTTGGATTTTCTCATGCAGGGACCATCTCCGACGTCCGCAGCTCCGCCATCTGGCATTGAATGGCCGTGTGCCACCTCGGTTGCTCCCTCTTTCAGCGAGGTCGGGCAGCCGAACCTCCAGGTGTTGGTCCCTCGCTGCCCTGCACAGGTAAGCAGTAAGCTTACCAGCACACACACTCACTCACTATGGCTCGAGGTAGAAGAAGGGGTTGAGCACAGCTCACACACACACTGCAGATGCTCCAGCGCTGGCCAAGGCTTTGCCCTTTGGTTGTGGCAACGGAACTGCCTTTTTTCATTGCATAGTGGTAGAATATATACAACTCATGTACCAACTATAAGGTACACATGAGCATGGTTGAGTACAGCCGCAACTACTCCTAGTACTACAAGTACCTTGCTTAGATCAGCCCACTACCAACATGACTGATGTAGTTTCTACCAACTACTAGTACTAGATGGCCTAATGCCTTACAAGCTACAGCACTAGAGAATGGACAGCCATGCTGACCAGTTCCTAATCCTAATCTGCAGCAAAGAGAGAATTGGGGAGCAGCAGATTATGTCTTACAATTCTTCCCCTAATCCTGCTGCTAACTCGAAGCCTTGACCTCATCAATGCCAATCATCTTCCTCGGCTCCATGAACCGCAGGCACCCGAGTGACTTGGTGAGGATGTCAGCGAGTTGTCTGCCGGTCTCGACAAACTCGATGACAATCTGCCCTCCATCGACGCAGTCCCGGAGGAAGTGGAACTTGATATCGATGTGCTTGCTCTGGTCGTGGAGGACAGGGTTCTTGGCGAGGGCGATGGAGAGCTGATTGTCCACCATCAGAGCTGGCGGGTGAGCTTCCTCGCCGGTCAGCTCGCCCAGCAGCCGGCGCAGCCAGACAGCCTGGCACGCCGTCGTGGCCGCTACGACATACTCCACTTCACATGTCGACAGCGCCACAATCTTTTGTTTCAGCGACTGCCAAGCAATGGGGGCTGCTCCAAGGAAGACGAGCACACCGGAGGTGCTCCATCGACCATCAATGTCGCCCAACATGTCTGCATCGCTGAAGACAGTGAGCTCCGGCTCACCTTCCTCGGTCTTGGGGGTGCCTCGCTGAAGACCATGAGCCTCAGCCCACCTTTGCCGCCGCACTTGGGGTAGATGATCGCTTGATCAAGCGACCCCTTGACGTAGCGCAGCAGCCCCTTCACTGCCGTCCAATGGTCTTCACGCGGGTCCTCTATGAAACAGTTGGCGTACCCAACCGCGAACGCAATGTCCGGCCGGGTATGAGTGAGGTTGCGCAGCCCGCCAACGATGCTCCGGTAGCGCGTCACGTCCACCTTCGCAGCAGTGTTGTGCTTGCTCAGCTTCAGCCGCTCCTCCATCGGAGTCGCACACGGCTTGCACTGCGCCATGCCGCCGCGCTCTAGCAGCTTCTCCGCATAGGCTCGCTGGCCCAGGGAGATGCTCTCCTTCCCTTGCTTCACCTAGATGCTGAGGTAGTAGAAGAGCGCGTCGAGATCACTCATCTTGAACCGAGCTACCATCTCGCGCTTGAACTGATCGATGTCCTCCGCACGCGCACCGGTGACAATCAAGTCATCCATGTACACGCCGACGATGAGCTCCTTCCCCGTCGCCGCGTGTAGAGCGCGTGCTCTGTGGCGCAGCGGGTGAACTCAAGCTCGCCCAAAGTGGTGTCGAGCTTGGCGTTCCACGCCCGAGGGGCCTGCCGCAGCCTGTAGAGCGCCTTGCGCAGCTTGAGCACCTTGTGCACAGTGCCCTTGACGGCGAAGCCTAGAGCTTGCTTGACGAAGACCGTCTCCGCGAGCTCGCCGTTGAGGAACACAAACTAGAGGTCGAGGTGGTGGACGCGCCAATCCTTCGCTGCTGCCATGGCCAACAGCAAGCGAACGGACTCCATTCGCGCCACCGGAGCAAAGACTTCCTCGAAGTCGATGCCCTCACACTGCATGAAGCCGCGGGCAACAAGCCAAGTCTTGTACTTGACAATGGTGCCACGCTCATCCCGCTTCACCTTGTAGACCCACTTCAGCCCAATTGGTCTACAGCCCGCCGGCGGCTCAACCAACTCCCAAGTCTGGTTGTCCTCAATGGCCTTCATCTCTTCCAACATCGCTCGGCGCCAATTGGCGTCGCGTTCAGCCACTACAAACGTCGGTGGCTCCTCTGCACTAACAAGGAGCAGCTCTGGGTCGTCGAGAAAACGACTGGCCAACCCAGGAGCTCCCCCTTCGCCGACGATGTTGTCCACCCGCCTGAACCGGACCTCCTCGCCGTCGTGGAAGGCGTCCACGTAATCGTCGATGTCGGTGGGTGGAGAGGCGAACTCCAGTGGAGGTGTCCCCTATCCTGCCGTCGCAGAGGACTATGGTGGAGGTGAGTGCGCCGCTGCTGGTGGAGACTGCTCGCCCGCGCCCACCATGGCCGGACTTGGCTGCTCCTCCTCGGCCGCCGCTGCTCTTTGGCGCGTGCACGATCGCTCTCCAAAGACCAAAGAACTGCTCTCCAAAGATCTCCTCCTTGGATCACCAAGTGCTCGATGGCAAATGTGCCGCTGAATGTCATCAGCTCTAGCAGAAGCCAGCCAAGGCTTTCGCCAAGACCACTCACTCACCCCCGCACAGAGGGGCAGCAACACCATCCCACAACAGCAGCCACTTCCATCAGCACTGCAACGTACAGTGCAGCCAATGGCCAACACACGCATCCAATGGTGTCGCACCCTGCAAGCCCCTAGCACCGCACATAGGAGGGAAGTCACGCATCGCCGTCACCGCCGCAACACCAACCCCAAGTAGGGAGGTGCAGCGACCAGAGGCAAGCACACGAAAAGGCAAGTAAGACCGTGTCAAACCGGAGCCGCCGTCGTGCCCCAAATTTCCATGGACGTCAGCAGCACGTCCCTCCACATCCACGCCGACAATGCCGCCACCAAGAAGACGCCCGATACTCGGATTGTGAAATAGGCTAGTCCATCATTTCTCACTCCTCACTTTTTTTGTTTGGTTTGTGGAATTGAATGTGTTGATCCATCACCATCTTATTTCTCATAAGTTAATATTAGTGCAAGCATGAGAAATGGAGTCATTCACTCATTCCATGAAATTTTACGGGATAAACTCATGATGGATGAGGTGGTTTCACAAACAAACACCCCATTAGTGATCTACGCTTTTGGTCATGTCATTACTCTTGAAAAAAAATTGTCCATCCAAAGTTCAATAGAAGTATCACAGAGAAGTCATATGTATTTTATTAATATCAACGGCTCGTCCAAATTTGTTCAAGAACAGCATGGTACCAATCACAGTATGTGTATCCCTACGAATAATCTGTGCAAGATAATAGTATATCTTATTTGATTATCAGCTAAGCCCTACCTAATTAATCCAACCCATTAGGCTGAAACTAGTGGTTGCAATTAGGTGCTGATGCTAGTCAAATACTGAGCATAAGAAAAGGTCCTTTACATATTGAACAGTAAAGCTAAACAAATTCTAACAACGAATTAGTTACTTACTATGGATTTATCAGGTGCTTCAAGGAAGAACACAGAAAGCAGTTCCTGGATATACTTCCTCCCCTGAGCATAAACAGGCAATGATCCATGTGTTGATCCAAGGATGCCAAGTGCAGCCCACTGTGTAATCACATTTTCCATACGAATATCAGATCCTTTAGGAAACATCGATAAATAGCTGAGGCACGATTTCAATGCCGATGGCATTTTGTAATATATCCGTTTGACTGACGAGAACATGTTGATATGCAATGGAAACTGTTTCTCCAATTTCCACAGCTCTTCATTTTTGCAATCCCAATTCCATGTGCTCGTGCCTTTATCATGCATGAATGCACCAAGAGAATGAATAACTCCCGGTATACCTTCACACCTGTTCACAATCTGCTTCCCAATTCGTGTGAGGTATGAGTTATCTCCACCACCAAATACCCTTTGAGAAAATATTGTCCAACAATTTTCTTCAGATAAAGGGCCTAATTTGTAGGGATGAACAGTATGCATCAGATTTGCAACATTTTCACTACAAGTAGTCACTATAATCTTGGTATTCTGTGTGCTCTGCAGCATTCTCTTGAGATGAAGTAATTGCCCTTCATCTATGCTCCATAGGCCATCCAACACAATCAGACATCTTTTGTCATTAAGTACTTCTCGAAGACAATTCATTAGTATCTGAGGATTATACTCACCCTCATTATTAACTTGTGAGGTGCCTTCCTCTGTTCTGTTAACTTTTGAGATTATAGCACTAGCAATACTATTAAAATCATAACTCATGTTCAGATTGATCCATACACGAAGGTCAAAATTATATCGTTCATCTTGGTCACTGAAAATGAGCTGAGCAAGAGCTGTTTTCCCCAATCCCCCAAGACCAACTATAGGAATAATGGAAATTTTTTGTTCACTGTTACTCAAGAGCAAGACTCTTACATTTTCCTTATCCTTATTTCTTCCAATGATTGCATTTTCATCAAACACATTGTGATCACAAGATTGATCTGCATCTGCTCTGTGGTGCAGTAAGCTGAATATGGAGTCTTCTGATGCATGATCCAAACTTTTTCTGATCTTTTTCATTTTATTCATCATACGACAATGCAGAACTGAGTGGTTAGATGAGAAGGAAAATACTACCTGAAATTTGACCATCAAATGATCATTAAGTAGCTCGTGGTTTCAAAATCTCCTTAGGTATTGTGGTAGCTGCTAACGCTTTATCAAAAACATTAACATTTAACATCGTATAATCGAAATTGCAATTCAAGCTAACAGTTTTCTGATAACAAACAAGTTACTCCCTACAGTTCTACATTTCATTTTGGAAAAAAAGGTTCAGGTCAAACTTTTAGAACTTTAACTACCAAAAGTTATAAAATATTCAGTTTGAAGAAACTATGACCGCAAGAATAGATTTGTCTTAAAAAATATTCTAATAAAATGGTATATTTGTTGATTTTTTTTTCTTATATATAAATAGATGGGAAGGTCAAAAAAATCTATCCAACAAGGATTCTTTAAAAAATCAATAAACACAGAGGTGAAGGTGGCCTAATTATTGAATACACACGATTGAGTTGGCAAAATAGTAGCTTTAGATTTAATATTTCCAGACAAAATAACATGTAGACAGTCACTGAAGAGCGAAAAAAGTTCTGATAATCATGGATATTTCTTGAGATCGAAATTAAGGCCACCAAATATGTGCCTAAAATCCCCATACTACGCACCTGTGACCAGAGATCTGAAGCCTCAGCTAACTTCCAACCCATGCTGCTCCTTTGGGCCCTGAAGCTGCCATTTTCAAGCTCGTCAAGAATATCTTCCACATCGTAGATATTGTGTTTGATCTTGCTCAAGCAGGGCTCTCTGCTCCCGTCAAATGGTTGTTTCTCCACATTAGCCAGGATGCCTTGCAATCTGTAGAGAGCTCTTGTCATACGCGATAGATCTGTCAGTATGCTGGAGGGAAGCCTGATTCGTTGGCCGTCGGAGGCAAGCCTCCTTTGGAGTCGATCTATATCAGCGCTAACAGTGGCCATGGCTGGATTGTCTTCAACATCCAGAGAAGGGGGCTGGATTTGTGGCGCTGGCGTGGGAAGGGGCGGCCGGGTATATTCCTTCGAGGAAAATGCAACACACATTCATTAACTTCCAAGGACGGTGTCGCTTAGGTATATTAACTTTAAAATTATATTATATTTTTTGTTCATAAACTCTTTACATAGTTCATCAGAGGTCCATGCCTCTTTATTTGATCTTTGAATCTGACGTGGCAGGTACAGTCAGCAGCTTTGACTATGTTTATATTTGCAAAAACAACCCCGTGTTTCTATGTATTCCATATTGTCATCCCTAGGAGAGAGGAGCACGAGGTGTGGGCGCAGATGCAACATGGAGTGGGCCAACTATGCAGGCAAGCAAGCCGGGGGCAGAGGGTGGTGTGGCCTTGAGCCTGGGGCGCATCCACAGATGGCAAGACATGCTGCCAGCGATGCTTTCAGAGGGTCGTTACGTCGCATGACTCATAGGCCAACGCGGAGCAGGCAAGTCCGTACGGATGCTGGTCGTGCCCAAGCCCCAAGAACATGGTCACGTGGAGTTCCGAACCATGTTGACGTGCGAGCGCCTCAAGCTATTCACGTACGACGAGCTCAGAAAGGCCACAGGCGAGTTGGACTCGAGCTGAGGTAGATCGTCGACGAGGGTGGCTTCGGCGTCGTCTACAGAGGGGTGATCGACGACGCCGTGAGGAAGGGGAAGCGGAGGGCTTCCAGGGCAACAGGGAGTGGCTTTGTCAGGAATCTAATCTTATTTGCATGCATGCACATCCATGCGGGTCAGCGTCGCCGTGGGTGCTGCACACCGCGAGCGTGCGTGGCGTTGCACATATGGAGGTGAGGATGGGCAATTAGGCGCGGGCGCATGGCAGTACCAATAGCCGGTGTGCGGCGTGCTTCGGCTCAGCACGTTCCTGTCGGAACGCCAAGCCGGTCGTGGCGCCGACGTGCCACCCGCGCACGTACCTGCCCTCGCCCGCGGGTGCGTTGTTAAGCCAGATGTCGATGTTGCCGACCACGGCGCATGATGCATACTGCAGCCCTCGGTGCACGACGCGTATGGCCACTAGTCGTCCCTCACCCCGACGTACCGCGGAACCGGTCGATGGGGCTCTTGATGAGATCCACGAGCTCGCCCATCACAAGCAGTTCAAATTGCTGCCTGCCCAGCCAGTCATGGAGGCTGCGCACAGTGGCGCGTCTCAGCACTCGAGGGAGCTCTCATCAGGTTCCCCACCAATAGTCTCTCGGCGCCCGCAAAGACCGACCGACACGGCCAAAGCCCACGGTGAGTGAGTGGTGCGCGATTAGCCACATGAACTTTGCACCTCGCATTCAGCCTACCGATCGTCTGGCCGAAACTGCGGAAGCGCAAGACCCGCCGCCCAAGCTTCGCATGCCAGCTACGATGATGCTACCGCCCATCAAGGCTTAGCGAAGCCCAGTAGCAACAAGCAAGCACGCTCCACGCATGTTGTGCTAGCAAAATCGTGCTCCTCTCTCCTAGGGACGACTGCATGGAAGACAGAGAAACACAGGGATGTTTTAGCAAATATAAACCCAGTCAGTTGCTGGCTGTACTTGCCACGTCAAATCTAAAGACTAAATGAAGGGGTATGGACCTCTGGTAAACTACTTTAAAAGTTTATAGACCTAAAAATACATATGCAAAGTTGATGAACCTAAGTGACACACTTTCAAAAATTAATGGACCTCCGGTGCATTTTACTCTATTCCTTTTACCTCCTGGGATTCCATGTCTAAGAGGATCTCCAAAAGATAAAATAAATCTAAATACTAAGATTTAGAGGCTCTCTAAATAAAAATAGCACTTCAAATACTAGAGCACCGTAGCAGCCTCTCTATCTTCTGTCATCCATCCCCGCCTCATGTGGCTGGTTGTGCCCTCGAGGCGCTGCATGTCATGACGTGCCCCAGCTGCCGTGATTTACGCGGACTTGGCGAGCGAGCCACTCGCTTTGTATGCCGAGCGAAAAATAGGGAATAGCTCGCGGCTATATTTAGATAATGAGATGAAAAATCTGTTGGTGACGATTTTTGGCTAATAATAGCCATATTTATATTTACAAAATGATTTATCTAGTCTTTTAGAGATGCTCTAAGGGCTTATTTGGATCTAGGGGCTATCTGTGTTACATCGGACGTTTGGATGTTGACTAGAAGAACTAAATATGAGCTAATTATAAAACTAATTGCACATGAGTAGACTAATTAGCGAGATGAATCTATTAAGCCTAATTAATCTATCATTAGCACATGTTAATTGTAGCACCACATTATCAAAGTATGGACTAATTAGGCTAAATAGATTCGTCTCGCAAATTAACCTCCATCTGTGCAATTAGTTTTGCAATTAGTCTATGTTTAATACTCATAATTAGTGTCCAAACATCCAATGTGACAGGGACTAAACTCTAGGAAGTGGTATCAAAGAGCCCCTAAGTAGAGCTTTGACTAAGTAATACTCTCTCTCTGTTCTCAGTAAATAGATTCTTAGAGCTGTCTTAAGTCAAAAATTTTAATCTTTAACCGAATTCTTAAAGAAAACCATCAAATTTTATGGTATCAATTTAGTATTATTAAATATACTAATATGTTTATTTTATGTCATAGATGTTGTTACTCCTTCCTATAAAGTTAGTTAAACTAAAAATAATTTGACTTGCATGGATTCTTACTGTCAGTAACCAAATACTGGGTACCTAAAGAGGAGGAGTTAATAACCATCAAGCGTTGATACTTCCGAATAGGCAAGAACGCGACTACATCTCTTGCCCAACAACCGAGGGTTAACTCCGCCTCGTCCGACCCCCAAAGGTTGGCTCCGCCTCTCCCGACGTCTGAGGGTAGACTCCGCCTCGCTCGACCCCCGAGGGCTGGCTCCGTCTCGCCCGACGTCCAGGGGCTAGCTCCGCCTCGCCCGATGTCTGAGGGCAGACTCCGCCTCACCCGATGTTTGAGGGCAGACTCCGCCTCGCCTCTCCCGACGTCTGAGGGGCAGGCTCTGCCTCGCCCGACCCCCGAGGGCTAGCTCCTCCTCGCCCGACGTCCGAGGGCAGACTCCGCCTCGCTCGACGTTCGAGGGCTGGCTTCGCCTCGCCCGACGTCCGAGGGCAGACTCCGCCTCGCCCGACGACTGCGCTGCTCCTTCATAACTACGCGCATAGATAAGACGGGACACTCAAGTCAACCATAATACCGAGGACCATACCCTACACGCCTACAGGAAAGTACTATCAGGATATGACAAGATGGGCGCTTTAAGCCCTTCCAGGCATGTTAGAAGCCCGAACAGGGTTGTGGGTGCCGACATTTGTCTCACAGTGTTATGGGCACCGGCATTTGTCCTCAGGCATGGATCCTGACGGAAGCATACGGCAACCACTATGGTCTAGGAGGAAACTCACATCATCTACAGTAACAGACGTGGGGTCACTGAGCCGTCTACTCCCCTTAGGGTCACGGTTCAGCACCCTGGTCCGTCGCGCCGCCCGCCGGGGCAGGATGGGACGTGACCACTTGCTGACAAAGCCAGAGCACGGCCCTATCAGGATCAGCGGATATGCACCCAATATGGAGCTATCCCTAACACCGTCTGCCATGTCAGTAGGGCTCGCTCAGAGGAAAAAGAAGACCCGGTACCTTCGAAAGACCTTCTTTGCCTCTGGTTTTTCTTCTTTCCCCCATCTATAATCCCTACTTCCCCTTGGTCTATAAAAGGGAAGGCAGGGCATCCCACTAAGGGGATGACTCAATTTAACACACCATACATCACACATAACTGAGCAGCAACCAAGCTCTCAACACCCATTCGACCTTTCCATCAGACTTGGGACCTGTCCCTCTCTCGCCCGTTTGTAACCCCTACTACAAATCTTTTAGTGCTAATAACACGAGCAGCAGTCGCAAACTGGACGTAGGGACATTCTGCCCAAACCAGTATAAACCTTGTGTCTTTTAGCACACCATCCGGGCCCAACGCGCAATAATACAAATTTACTCGTTGGTGTTTACTCAAAACACCAACAGTTGGCGTGCCAGGTAGGGGCCTTTGCGCGTTTTGACATTAACATCAGGCCGTGGATGGCTAGCCACGATATCAGCTAGGTCCCAAGGGCACATGTGTGCTTCGGGGACCTAGACTTCATCATTACGGTGGAAGGAGAGTTGGCATTGGCTCACGCCGCCATCCAACCTCTCTCTTCCATTGGCCTCGACTACGGGAGGCTTGGACGCCAGCTCGGCGTCTCCCTGGGACCCCAGCCATCTAGGGAGAACCCGCACCACCTCACCTTCTCTGACGCCAACGTCATGGCACGGCTCACCGAAGGGAAACCCCTCTCTCCGGAACACCTCATACGGAGCGCCCCGACAGTGCTTTCGTTCGGTCTCCGCAACGCCGCGGCGACCGTTAGCCACCCTGTGGCACCACACATGTTCCCACCTCCCACGAATGATGAATTCATAGGGGTGATCAAACATGTCATGGAATCTTTCCATGACCTCCTGGCCGAGGAACCAGAGTCACTCTCTGGCTCTAACTCCAGCAGGGGAAGCCATCATCCCTCCCATGAATGTTTCATGACGGGTGTCCCCAAGGGACACATCGAGAGCATTCGCGAGGAGGAGGCTACCCCGGTGAACAACCTCGGCGATGAGGCCAAGGGAGAGACAACGGACCCACCTTGCATGTAGGTGGAGCAGCTAAATGCTCGACACCGAGAGATAGAGGAAGCACGGCTCTAGCTCGAGCAGAAATGCGCAGAGCTCGATCAGGAAATCAAGCGCCACGGAGACGACAGGCGCACACGCGCCATGGCCCGCGACGTGAACCGAAGGATCATCACCGACGATGAAGCCCTTCCTCACTTTGCCCTGGCAAGCTGGAACATCGCCGCTGTGGAAGCCTTGCTCCATGGTCTTCTAGAGGCCACGATGCCCGAGGATCATTGGGCCCACCA